AAATTTAATGAGTTGTTTTTTTTTTTTTTACATAGATGGGTTGTAATTTAATTAAAAAAAAAAGGTTTGTGGTGAGATGTTAATAATAATTAAAAACAAAAAAAAAAAAAACAAAAAAAAAACAAAAAAAAAATTTAAATAAATTGTTTAAACGATTGGCTAAATCTTTTAATTAATCTTAGTGTATAAGATTTTAGGATTATTCAGTCGTTCAGCGCGACTTAGACAAAAGTTCGCGATCATGACGTAAACTTACAATCATGGGTAATTAATCATGTGCGTGTAACATTTACGATCATTCATAGTTATTTCATACATACTAATGCATTATTACGTAGATGAAATTTATTCTTAATATTATTTTTTTTACTATTCTTATACATTTTTATAAAACCATGACCCAAAATAATGCATCAAATCATTAGCATACATTCACTCATTAATCGCATTATTAATGGCATTATTTAATGATATTATTAATGGCATTAATGATATAAACATTCAAGAATCGAAATAGAGTTTTGAGAACGCAATCTGATTGGTTATTCGAAAACATAAACAAATATGTCAGATGAATAGAGCTGTAAGCAGGAGCTCTTCGTGATGTATTTTTATTTCAAAATTTGACTCTATTCATCACAATAATCTTAACCTTGATTAGAAAATGATTCTAAATCAAGTATTAATGCATGTAGAATTAAATAAACCTTAGTGACCACTTGAAATTAATATTGTTATTATCACAAATATAACTCCGGTAAAAAAGACATACTTCTTCCCTGCGTTCTTTGTTATTTAATCCTCCTTAATTTAATTCTCTCCAATATTACTTTTCAAATTTCACATCTGATGATCACGACTATTCATGCGAAAATTTATCTAACATGATTACAAATCCCGTTCTTTCATAATGTAATGATGACAAAAATTTTGAAACAAGCATAATGAAAATTTTATCAAGATATTGGTTCGTATCCAAAGTTCAATAATGAAAATATAAATTTATTTTTAATCGATAAATAACCAATTACATAATTTTAATTATTCTAAATATAAATTAAAGTACGTACTTAGTACATATGACGTACAATTCATTTGATTAGTACATATGATGTGACACCGTTTATATTATTAATTTTTATTGTGTAAGTATATTTTAGATATACGGTATATCTTTTTATCAATAACAATTATGCAACTTTCTGTATTATTAACCTGCATTTATGTATAATTTTATAATAATGTACATTAAAAATTTTAATAAGCAATTATTAGTTGTGGAATCATAAAAAATCAATTTATTATTGTTGCCCAGATAGGTTTCATTGCTTCGCATGAGGTGTATGTATATCAATATGCACAGTGATAAAAATGATTCATATGTAGTATAAAAAAATTTTTTTTTTTTACAATATACGAAAAGTAACAAACAAGCAACCCTTAATACTTGCTTGTTGCATGTTTATATGGCATGTTCTGTCTTTTGATTTTCTTGACGACCCCGGGGAGACCAAAGTTCAGGTTGATGATCAACATCACAGCTGCCTAGGGAACTTGGCACGCTGGCACATAATATAAATAAAAAATTATATACATAATAAAAAAATTTCTTTCTACGTAAAACATTATCAAATTTTGTTTAACCAATTATATTACACATATATAATTACATAATAGAGGTATGCCTTATTAAATTTTTAACACTTTGGCATGCCCACGACCACTGTGCCAGCATATAATTACTTTTCCGTTAAATAATCTTAATTTGTAATTTAATAAGGTAATGAAAATATTATACCGTAAAAACTTGAAATTATACCCAGAGGTGTACTTTTAATTTTGACAAAATTTAATCTTAATTTTGGCTGCAATTCAAAATAACTTTATGCCCGTTATTTCGAATTTTATGTTAGGTTCTATCATACTATACGATAAAAAAAAAAATTTATTCCAGATTAAAGTTTGTTAGGCAAAATTCAGAGATTTCACATTGATGAAATTCGGAACCTAGTCATGCCTTTCATCAATTTAAATTTCAAATGACAAGTTGACGAAATTGGCGAAAGCTGACGAAACCGAATTAGGCTGAAAATACTACGTATAGTAATTTGCCGGCCATTTACTGCGCCAATGGTTATTGTTTAAAGTTTCTTTTTTGATATATCACTATCGAATAAAATATATTATAACTAACAATAGCCGTAATAACAAATAGAAATTATAGAAATTTGCTACTGTTCTTTGGTCGTTAAAATTCACACTTGCGGCTGTTAAAAATGTGTACATAAATATTTTTTGAGTTAAATGTCATCGGATATTACAAAAATAGCACTCAGATATATTAATCGTGCTAATAGAAAATTTCAACCAAGTTGGAAAAATACTTATCCATGGCTTGAATGTAATACTCAAAACAATAGAATGTTTTGTGTTTTATGTCATGCTTCTAGTAAAAAAAATGTTTTTGCTATGAGTGGTAAGTATAATAATTTTATATATAGTATTAATAGTTATAAATAAATTAGTAATAAATATTTACTTTGATTAGATTTTACAAACATTAAACTTTATGCTATAAAAGAACACATTAAAGCTAAAGATCATATCGATTCATATTGATTCATATAAAAAAAATGAAAATTTAAATTTATCACCTAAACATGTTATATGATTAAAAATGATATTTCTTTAAATAAATTTAAAAAATTAGTTCAACTTGGTCATGTTCTTGAAGCATTGCATCTAATTTCTAGATAATTTAATTATATATGAAAACCATACTTATACATGTGAATTACTATTTTCTATATCTATTTCAATTGAAGAAAATTTTTGAAATGAATTAAATCTTGCTACAGTTATAGGAATTATGATTGTTAAAAGTACTGACATTGTTATAAAATTTCATATAATTATTTATGTTAGATATCTTCTTAATGGTATTATCAAAATACAGTTTTTAAGTTTGTTACAACTTAAAAATCATATGGGATGTGGCAACCTAATGAAATGAATAAGTTGTCAACCCTCAAGTGGCAGGTCTAAAGTTTAAATCCCAGTGACAGCAAAAAATTTGTGATTCTTTCTGTGTTATAGCTAACTGTCTTCCATGATTGGTTGGAATAAGGTACCTGTAACCCATGTCATATCAGCATGACTGGAAGATCTAGGCATTTGTACAACATTGTACAAGAGAACACAAACTAGTACCAGGTGGTGTGAACCCAAGATAAGTCCTTAGGCTGTGTAAATCACAGGAACCAGATAGAAAGATGAAAGCCCACTTGAAAGACCCAAATAGAGAGGTAACCCAAACCTTTGACAGTGCTATTGTAAAGACTAGACTAATTAAACAGAGCTAGAACTTGTAAAACTAGACAAATATGCTAGTCTTTAAGGAGGAACTGAATAAACCAACCAGGCTGCTGGAATTTTTGGGTTTTGAAGAAAAAAGTTACATGGTAGCAAACATGTAAACCAGAGGTATGGTCTTATCTTACCTTTCTGAGCTATCTGAAATAACAGCTTGGTGGAACTTGAATTAAATACCAAAATAGTAAAGATATGTTGTGAAGTCAGTACCAGGCTTGGAGTAAACTTTACAAGAGCATAGTGGTTTAATGGTACACTCTGACTGTCAGTATTGGTCTCAGTCATAGTGATACTAGATTAGCTATAAAAATAGAATACAGAAGATTCTGAAAAGTTTAATACAAGGTCAAAGGTTCTCTATATGAGTAAACTGGTTTAAAGACTTAGTGACCATGTCATATTTTCACCAGCATTGGCTGGGGTTATTGGTAGGCAGAGGTAGGTGGGTGAATACGAGAACAGAGTAGTTAAATAGAAAACCTACAAGTGGGTTTCAGATATGGCAACTAGTATAAAACCTTCGGGCAGATTACTTAAATTAGACAATGACTAAAGTTGTATAAGTGGCTAGTTGTATACTCTTCCTATGATTGCCTCCTGTGATTGTAAAGCATCTATTAGCCAAATATACTATTAATAAAATCCTGGGTTACAAGTACTCATCTTAATATTTAAAAAAAAAAAACTTAAAAATTATGATATAAAATTAATTTATAATTCTATTATTAATCTATTTATTACCTGAAATAAGTTTTTAAATTAGTACTTTATTTTATTATAAATTATTCTAATTATTTTTATATTTTAAGAAATACAGTATAAAATTTTTGTATTTACATTTGATGATGCAAGTGTAATGCATAAAAGTCTTACTGGAGTTGTTATATGAATAACTTAAATAAATCTTTATATATTTACTATGTACTATATTGTATATAAATTATCATTAGTTTATGAAATTGCTGAAAAAAAAGTAGAATTTGTAAATATTTTAAGACATTATTAAAACAAATATATGTCTTTTTTAGCAATTCTACAAATAAATTTAAATTTTATTTAAATATCAAAAAAGTCTTAATAAGCTTATTTTAAAAATTCTTAAAATTTTTGATATCTGATAACTTTTATTTTATAAAATAATAAATGATATAAAAATAACAAGCCAAAATGTTTACTTTAACAAATACTGAATCTGATTTTCTTGACTTAGACTATTACTACAACAAATATCCAGATTAATTTGGTATTGATACCAAAGAATTTAATCCATTTATCTTATACATTTTGTTAAAAGATGTCAATCTTTTAAAATATAAAGCTAATAAATAATAACATTATTTTAAAATGTCAATTCAACCTACTTTATCCACTTGTCTTTGTAGCAAATTCTATATAAATTTTACTTTAAAACATTATAAAATTACTCACTTTACACCTTTTTAACAAATCTTAAATTTTACTGCAATAGATATTTTTCTAACTATAGTCATTTCCAAAAACTGCTTCAACAATATTGTTGACTAATTATTCAAATTACTTATTACTAAACAACAACAAAATCTTCAATCAAATTCACAAATTTCATCTTCTTTATTCTATATAAACAAATCATCAGTAATAATTGTTTCACACTCACAATACTATCACTCTTGCATCTTATATAATAAAAAAGAATATCTCATGTGTTCTTATTCAAGAATCATAACATGTACCTGACTATTCTAAAGCTATAATCTTTAAGGGTTTCTTATTTCATCAAGATTGTGTTCACAATTTCCAATATGCTAAACTTAAAATTTTTTCTCAAAAAAAGGAACTTACAAAAGAACAATATTTTATCTTTCATTTTTATTACTTTTACAAACTTAATAAGAAAGAAAAAATTAATTTTTTTCAAAAACTACTCTTAGAAATAAAGAAATAAAACAAAATTCTAAACATTCTTCTAAACAATAATAATAAAAAAATACAACAAACCCAACTTAAAACATCTCTAAAGATCTGAACTAGTTATTTAATTATCTAATTACAGAAAGCATGAAACAAAATACTAAACTTAATACAACACTTCTTTAGCAACTCTTCATCTTCTCAAAAACTCATCTTCACAAATTTAATTCTGGTCAACTAATTTCTTCTATTCTAAATAATATTTAAACAACCACAAACCAAAAACCTCTTCAAAAACAAAGTTTCAATTATTTGCTTAAAACAATGATTACTGAAAAGCCAAAATTCTTTACAGATTTCCTTTATCAATCAAATCTATTACTCTCTCCTTAACTTAATATTCCACAATATGCATATATTTCAATACTTAAAAATTTACTTACTAAATTTACTGAATTTCTTTTTACTAAACTAAACTATTTATACATCTTTCATTTTTATTACTCAATCCCACCATATCCAATCTCTGATTGTTACAAAGTGGCAATTAATTTTGCCTGTTTATACTTATTTCTTTATAACAAATACTAAATAATTTATTATCAAAAATTCATCAAGCAACTAGAGCTTTATTCTCTTAGACTATCAATGAAATACAATTTCAAATTTGATACTTTAAAACTCCTATTTAGTATCTATAATAACAACCAGTTTACTATTATTATTAATCTTAACATTTCTAAAACTAAATTTCTTAACTTCTTTTAAATTCTATCATTTAAATCTTATATTTAAAACTTTAACACATGGTATTCAGACTTTTTTAAAGCTTACCAAAAACTATTTATAGAAATTAATAAAGAAAAAATCAGAAACTATATTAAATACCAAATTGCAACCACACTTGCTAAGGAATACAAAAAACTCCTATCCTCAGATTTTCAAATTACAGAACCAATCTTTCTCCAAAATCACTTCTTCTTAACTACTAAAGCTGCACTCTTTTATGTTCATATATGTAAAAACAAAGACTGCAAGCTCCTACTTAACAATACAGAACACATTTTCAAAAATATATCAACGTACTTTTTTGACAAATCTTTTAAAACCTTTCTAGCATCTCAAAAAGACAACTCAATTTCTAAAACCACACCATTCACTTCAGACTATACAATATTCAAACCAAATCAACAATATATAGTAACCTTCAAAAAGACTATTCCACTCCATACACTTAATGAACTTGTACTCAAAGCAGATCAAAAGTTTGCTGAAATTAACAATTTGGAAACTAATCTCAAATAAACTGCATTCTACCTTTATTTTTATATCAAAGTTTATTTAAATACTGCAGCTAAAAATAATAGTATTTTAGACCTCAATCTAAAAAAGCTTTAGAAAAAATTATTATACCTATTATTAGTTCACATATCTTAGCACAAATAATTCTCTACTTTCATATTCAAAGTTTATTAAAGTTTTCTATCTTTCAAATCCAACTTGACTACAATTTAAAATACTTTCTAGAAACAGAAAAATTTATCATTAAACACTATGATATTAAAATCTCTTCAATACAGATAATAATCTTTCATATATTCAACTACTACTTATAGTTCACTTTTTCAATAAATCCTTCTATAGATAACATAAATACAGCTGCTACTTCCAAAATAATAATGTCTTTTACTAAAAATGTGTTATTTTTGAAAGAGAATAATGTAAGTAGATGAGCAGAAAAGCCTATTTATATAAAGAACCAAGTTAATAATAGTCAGACCCAATGTACAGAGCAGACTATAGTATCCTCTGCAACTGTAAAAACTGAGTATACAGTAAGAGCATCTATAGAAGGAAACTCTAACTTCTCAGAAAACATTACATTACATTACTCTAAGAATTTATCTCTAGAAAATAATTTCTTATCTAACTCAAAAAAACCTTACATACCTAACATTTTTATAAACATATCTACAAACTTAAATATCACTAAAAATAACTATGAATTACTAATAGAAGAAGACAATACTATTGACTTACTAACATCAAATACTATTTAAGAAAAAACCTATATTTCAACTTTTGACCTGCTCAAAATATATAATTCTCTAACATGCTATAACAAATTTCTTTCTTATTACAATCTACAACTCTTGCTAGCATTACAATTAATAGGTTTCTTCCTAAATTCATCCAAGATGAATATCCAACCTATTACTCAGAACAATATATTAAAATTTCTATTAAAACAACTAATAATATACAAGAAGAAGCATATATACACCTATTACAAAAACCTAATCTTCTATCTAATTTTTCATATATTCATTTCAAAAATCTCTTAAAATTTTAAAACA